CGCTGGCAGGCGTAAAGTACGGCACCAGGTAAGGCGCTCACTGCATTAGCAACTGAAGATAGAGTTTTTAATTTGAACAATTTACTTGCGTTATTCACTTAGATACAAAAATGTCTTTATAAGTTTTTGACCCTCGAAATTATTCCAGCAAATTCCTATCATTGATGATGGGGAGTGCAGCCACCGTGACGAAGCTGAAGGGGACGAAGATGAGCTTGAAGAAGACGAGGATGAGGATGATGACGCCAACAGTCTGCAACCCTCGAGGGAGAAAAGCAAAACTACAGAGCAGCAGATCCCTGGGTTAGGAGGTGACGAGGAGCAGCAGCAGACGCCACCTGCCAAGAAGAAGTCTGCCTGCACATTGCCGCCCATTAAACAGTAAACATCTTATTTTTAAATTACACCAGCAGTTTAATGTGAAGTTATATTTATGCGCGTGATCTTAAGTTTGCTCGTATCACTTCAGCTGAGGCTGTATTGTTGAGTTGCAGTTTTTCATAACAAGTCGTGGAACTTCACAGTCACAAATGCTGTTTGTGCACGTGATATGCTATTTTATTTATTAAAGTTGAGACATTTTATTCATTTCTTTTCTTACATTTAAATTTAAATTGATGGATCTACTGGTGTTTGTTTTGAAATTTTCCAACAGACCCTGTATATTAATTTTGGACTCGCTGCCGTGCGCTCCTGACCGTGAGCACACCGTTGCCATGCTGAGGGATTACCTCAGAATGGAATACATATGCAAACGCAAAAGAAACGATCGCACCTTCACACGCGAGACACTGAAGGGCGCTGTGCCATGCGTACCGAAACAGACCAATTTCATCGACTGCGGCCTCTACACTCTTCAGTTCACCGAGAGCTTCTTTCGTGTAATTATCCATACTTACAGTCAAGTCACGCTTAAATTATAGTCTCTTACAGCTAAATAAGAAAAAAAAATTCTGAGCATATTTTGCGCCTATGGCTAGCATTTTTATTCACATCCTATTCTGTCAAGTAGTTCTTTCACGATTTTCTTATTTTGACAATAACGTTGACTCCACCTAACCTTTTTTCAGCAACCTCTGAAGGACTACCGGTTTCCTATATCTTCAATCGTCAACTGGTTTGACGAAGCCATCGTAGCTGGCAAGAGGAAAGCCATTGCGCGGCTCATCAAGACCCTAATGGATGAATATAATCCTAACAACAACTTTATACTTCCACCAATAAGCTTCAGTACGCCCGGAGAACGCCCGAAGAAAGTACGAAGAAAAATGTGAACGGGAGTAAAAAATCGTGCTTCCCAAGCCAAGAAGCGTGAGCGTCAGCATAAACTGTTGTTGACGGTCTTTCGTCTTCATCCTGTTCTTCTGATATCGGTGTAGGACCTCATTTTGTGTCAAATGTGTTGTCTTCCAATTTGATGATGCGCAACAGTTCCTGCAAGTTAGTAACGAGTTCCAATGACGCAATGAACTCGGCTAACATTTCAACACTTTCTTCAAAATCGTTGTCGGATTCACTTGGACCAAACTATGTAAAATTCTCTAACGTGGAAATTGAACTCGCTTCTATTAACCGGTCTGATACAGCTGGAAGTCCGGTGTCGACGGATGCCTCATGTAACATTGATTTGGAATTAAGTACATCTGATTTTGACTGATTTAGAATCCTCACAGCTCGCCAAGTTTGCAGAATCACTCCACTAGTGCGTCGATTGGCAGGCCGCTTCGACGGCTGACTGCGTTTTATCAAGTGGTCAGGTTGCGAGCTCAAATTTAGTTGCTAAACAGTACAGTTCACTTGCGACTGTATCCTCTCTGCAAATCTCCTCGCACACTTCTAATGTCTTCGTGAACCATCAAGGTGTACTATATATTCCTGAACTTGCGTACATACCTAAATAAACTAGACTTCATGAACTCAGCCAGACATGGATTTGAAAAAAATTTTATTTATCCAAAAAAGTGGTTGAAGTTCCTTGTCGATTGTGATATTGTTTTCACTAGTTATATGTGTCAGTGATTATGAATAAGACAGCCGGAGTCACCGTATTCATCGACTTGGAAACTGAAGTTTATCTTACTTAGTTTTCTGTTTTGTTTTTTCTTTGATGGACAAAGTTTACATGTTTACATTTTTCGTTGCCTGCCGAACTAGAATTAATCACCGTATGCAAGTGTAAGCTGGCTTGCTAATAAAAATATAAAAAGACAAGTCCATTTGATTTGAACCTTCTTTCTTATAAGAAATTACTCACGAATAAATTATTAATTTTTTTTGATAAAATTGTTTTCTTGTTAAAAATTAGATGGCTCAGTTGCTGGATATCTAGCACGTTACCTTGAAAGCATCGCCATCTGACCATGTACCAGAAAAATTGTAAGCTGCAGGTGTGAGAAATGGGATCTTCACTTGAGGGATGGCGACAAGTTGTACATCACTGAACATTGACACGAGCTGAAATGAAACTAACTCACATGTCAGTTAATAATTTTCATTAGGTTCATTGTGGGTAATCGGAACAAATAAACTCGTTAAGAAAGTTAAGTTAAGTTAAGAAAGTTGCGTTTTGTCCCGGCATGAACGCTTGGATACCTAGGCATCAATAAACAATATGTTACATAAAACAATTTATTAAAGCCATAGTTCTTAAATTCATCAGGTAACAAGAAACCTACAATGCATTCGTTACTACAGGCTAAGCCTCTAGTAGTTAAAACGTATTCCATTTAAAGTCGAGTGTAATAACTGACGCTATTTCGATATACATCAAGAAATTTATTCCATTACTTAGCTAAACATTTGTTAATATAAGCAGGTAGGAGCGTAATGTCAAACAATGAGCTGCAAATGTGAAGGAAATAGAAACGTCCATCGGACACTATGATGCTGCTGAATAAAGCTGTGTAGTGAACGCCTAGGTGACTTCTAGTCATAAGAGCGTCTAGTTTAGGAGCGTTCTAGTCATAATATATAGCTTCTAGGAAAGGTCTAGTCATAATATAGAGCTTCTAGGAGAGGTCTAGTCATAAAGTAAAGCGTTTAAGAAGTTCTAGTCATAATAAAGAGCTTCTAGGATAGGTCGGTCTAGTCATCGTCAGGGCTGGTCTAGTCATCAGAGTCCAGCACCGGGATCTGGCCCATGGGTCTTCAGCGACTCTGAACATGGGCTCCGTGGCGGCGATGACGTCGTCGACCTTGTAGCCCTCGGCCAACTCCATGAGCGTTAGACCGGCGTCCCGGTCTACGGTGAACACCCCCTGCAACACGGGCAACACGGTTAGTGACATCTCCTGCAACACGGGGCCTTAGTGACACCTCCTGCAACACGGGGCCTTAGTGACACCTCCTGCAACACGGGGCCTTAGTGACAC